CTCCTTTGTATGCCTGAGTAATTGTAAAGTACCTTATTTTTAAATATTATGAGGCTGTTGCCTGTCAAACTGAGGCCGTTACCTGTAAAAACCGTTTTAGATACTGTTTTTGCCCTGACAAGCGAAGTAATGGTTTCTTTTTATCCGTGCCAGCATAGCTTAAGTTTTCCCATCGCTCGAGCAGCATATCTTTATGATTAGCTTTATCATCGCTGATCACAAATAGATTTATGTTACATTTTAGATTAGCAGATAAGTAACGGTAGCAGTCCCTGGCCGAATTTATTGAAGTTTGTCAAACTTTAAATTGTGACGGGTCTGACATGTGACGGGCGTGATCAACATAATCGGTTCTTTTTTCGAAAATAAAAGCATATAAATAATTAAAGGCAATTCGCAAATATTCCTCTGTGTCATAGCGTACTTTCGTCAGCTTTTTATACTGTTCAAGATGTGTTTTCCTTCAAAAAATAACTATTTTGTGTATTTTGTGACGGGCGTGACATTGAAATATGCTTTGCTTCAATATATAATAAAATATTTAGTACTTGTCCGAAAAATTTTAAAATTACGCTGTTACAATGCTAACGAATTTTTCTCTCCACTGACGGCTTAAACAATGCAAACAAGATAATAGACTACGAAAATCAGTCTTGTAAATTTTGAAAAAAATTAACCTCTCATATCTCATTGTATTTGATTTTGAGATAAATTTCGGAATTTTGGCTTTCAGTCTTGAAAGTTAGATTTATTTACTCTTACTTACTAGAAATAATACAGTCAAATTCTTAAGTTTATTTTCGTTTCTTTCGGTATCGATTACCGTGGAATGAGCCAAATGCATTAATTTTAAATAAAAATGAAAGTGAAGAAAAGAAGAACAACTTTTGATATCGATTTTAAATTGTAATAGTGCACAGTGGTCTTGAAACAATGATAGGTATGACTAAAATGCCAACCAAAACTGCTTGCATACCTGTTTTGGAAGGCACCCATACACCATTATGCAGTTGGAATTAAAATCATATCTGCTCCTATGCCTAAAATATTGTCAAATGAAAATTTGGAAAAAATTTAACTGCAATTGCTAGTATTTCTTGTTGAACAGAGTATTCTAAAGTTATCGTTTTGTATATTAGTGTAAAAAAAAACAGATAGTATTTTTCTCGATGATAATTGGGGTGTTCACAGTTCGTTCCAAATTGTGTCTGAAAATGTAGACGTCTACATTTTGAGACATCTTTAGCATCAAACTGTGAGCACCCCTTTCTAGCAGTCGTCGCAAAATCGTCTCAAAACTTTGCTGGTGTTGCCAGACATTTCTTCTTTGCGTGCTTTTTTATATGTCGCCTTTCGATTTTGTTTCTGAAAAATTGTTATTATTTAACTTAATTACCAATTCCTAATATTTGTTATTTCTTTGCATTGATTTGTTTCTTTTCATCAGAAATTGCGCTCAAATTAAATGCAAATACAGAAAACGTGCCCAATAAATAAAAAAAAATGCGATTAGTATTGCCATAATGCAACCCTGCTGCGAGGTTGCAAAATGTAGACGCGTAAAAAACATACCTTTGAGTGTGACAAAATGTAGACGGCGTCGTTTTCCAATTTTGTATGGGAAACAACAACACCACAGATTTTACGGTTAGAAAACGTCTTAAAATGTAGACGTCTACATTTTGAGACACTATTTGGAACGAACTGTGAACACCCCAAATATTTCTGGTGTAAGCTATTTGATTGCACATCATGTCTTCTATAAGTCATCCGCAACATAAGTGTAATCACGAAGAGAACAGATTTAAAGTGTGCGCGCCTTGTGGGAGAAAGATTAAATTCGGATCGTCAAAACCTTCAGAATTTAATATAACCGGAAAATTGGAGTGTCTTATTAAAAAATACGTTAGTGAAAATTTTAGATTGACCAATTCGAAGTTCCCATTAGGCATTTGTGGTACATGTCGTAGGGTTCTCTGTGACCGAGATAAGGATATACCAAATGCAACGCGGCCTCTTCCAAACATGTCTAACTATGAAGATTCGACAAAAGAAACAAGAACAACTTCATGCTCTTGTTATATCTGGCTCACTGCTCGGGCAACCAGCCATCCAAAAGTTATACAAGGGAGAGCACATACCTTAAATGTATTGAGTGAAAAAAACTCCACCAATGGGTTGACTGCTTTGTCAGTTGGGTCAGAATTAAAAAATCATGTAAGTAAACTCGCTAAAGCCTTCCGAAGCACAGAAATGTCGGAAACATTAAAAATTCACGTGCTTCTAAATCATTTGGAACATTGTCTGCATTTTTTAGGCAACGACAGCTTCGGAATGTGGTCGGAGCAAGCTGAAGAATCCATTCATGGCGTATTTTTAAGATTTTGGCTCAATTATAAAGTTAATTCGATTGACGACCCTAAATATATAATCAATTAAAAAAAAACTGTCGTTGAATTTTCATCAAAACACATATGAATTTATATAAAATAATATTTTATATTGACTTTGTAAATTTATAAAATTTATGCAATAAGAATTATTAAAATATGCAATTATGTAATATTATCTCTTGAAGAACTAAGTTAAAATATTTTATGCTTATATAAGAAAGTGTTATAATTATATTATCATAGACCTTCGCGATTATATAACTGGATTTGGAAAGTTCTAGATCAACATTTTATAATATTTTAAGCATAGGAGCAGATGGAATTTTATTTTCAACGAAATTTTGATCTATGATTATGTACAAAGACAGTTATGTAAGCCGTTTTGGTTGGCATTTTAGTCATAGCTATGGTTGCTTCAAGACCACTGTGAGTGTTTATAATTATAAACAATTTATTAATCTGTTGTTGTTGTAGCGATGACAACAACCCAGCCCAGATCGGTTAATATCTCAGTCGTTGTCGTCAAGCTCAACTAACGGAAGCCCCAAGAAGCGTACAGTCTCAATGGGGTCGGTCCAAAGGGACAAAGGCGTTAGTGTTGTCATGTTTTCCGAGCATACGAAGAGATGTTTCGAGTCGCGGGGTGTCTCTCCGCATGCCGGACACTCATTTGGCACATCTTCAACTAATCTGCTCAGGTATGAGTTTAACCTGCTGTAGTAGCCAGAGCGAAGTTGGGCCATTGTGGTTATAGTCTGCCAAGGCAGACGAAGCTCCGTCTCGTCGATGTCAGGTGGATC